CCAGAACCCCCATAACCCCACAGCCCCCACACTGCCCGTGCCCCCCCGAGCCCAGCAGCCCCCGCGTGTCCCCCGTGTCCCCCATGTACCTTGGTGACAGCGATGGTCAGGGTGGGCTCCTGCCCTGCCTCAGCCTCGCCGGCGCTGCCGTAGCAGAGCAGCCCAGGGCCCCGCAGCACACAGAACAGGGGGGCCCCGCCCGGCCCCTCGGCCCCTGGAGCCTGGCCCGAGACCCCCAGAGCCCTCAGCACCCACGGGGGGCACCACAGTGCCAGTGTCCCCCATTCTGCACCCACAGTGGCACCACAGCACCAGTGTCCTCCATTCTGCACCCACGGGGGGCACCACAGCCCCAGTGTCCCCCATTCTGCACCCACAGCTGCACCACAGCACCAGTGTCCCCCATTCTGCACCCACGGGGGGCACCACAGCACCAGGGTCCCCCATTCTGCACCCACGGGGGGCACCACAGCACCAGTGTCCCCCATTCTGCACCCACAGTGGCACCGCAGCACCAGTGTCCCCCCCATGCCCAGCACATCCAGCTCCACCCTCCCAGTGGACCCACTTGTGTCACCACCCATCCTGTCCCCATCCCTGTCCCCGCTCCCATCCCAACCCATTCCCATCCCTGTCCCTGTTTTTGTCCCTTCCCATCTCTGTCCTTCCCCTTGTGTCCGCCCCCATCCATGTCACTGTCCCCATCCCACTCCTCCGCCTGGCCACATCCCATGCCCGTCTTTGTCCCTGGCCTGTTCTCATCCTTGTCCTTGTCCCCATTTCTCCAGCCATCCCTGTTATCTGTGTCCCCATCTCCATCCTTGTCCATCCCCATCGCTGTCCTTGTTCCTGTCCTTCACCCTGCCCCCAGGGTGTTCCCATCCTGCCCCCATTCCTGTCCCTGTCCCATCCTTGTCCTCATGTCCCTCTCCCTCTCCCTCTCCCTGTCCCTGCCCTGGTCCTGGGCACAGGGGTACATACATCCCATCCCTCTATCCCATTCCCAATCCCATTCCCTCTATCCTAATCCCATTCCCAATCCCATTCCCAATCCCATTCCCTCTACCCCATTCCCTCACTTGCAGCTGCAGAGTCCCTGTTATTGTGGGGGTGTTTATGCAGCTCATCCCATTTCTACATCCCATTCCTCTATCCCATTCCTCTATCCCATTCCTCTATCCCATTCCTCTCTCCCATCCGTATATCCCATATATCCCATATATCCCATCCCTATATCCCATTCCTATATCCTATTTCTCTATATATCCCATATATCCCTATATCCCATATATCCCTATACCCCATTTCCCTACATCCCATTTTTCTATCCCATTCCTCTCTCCCATCCCTATATCCCATTTCTCTTCTTCATCCCTATATCCCATTTCCCTATATCCCATTTCCCTATATCCCATTTCCCTATATCTCATTTCTCTATCCCATTTCTCTATCCCATTTTTCTATCCCATCCCTATTCCCCATTTCCCTATACCCCATTTCCCTATATCCCATTTCCCATTTCCCTCTATCCCATTTCCCTATACCCCCTTTTTCTATCCCATCCCTATATCCCATTTCCCTATATCCCATCCCTATATCCCATTTCTCTTCTTCATCCCTATATCCCATTTCCCTATATCCCATATATCCCTATATCCCATTTCCCTATATCCCATTTCTCTATCCCATTCCTCTATCCCCTTTTTCTATCCCATCCCTCTATCCCATTATTCCCCTCTATCCATTATTCCCCCATATCCCATTGATCCCGTTCCCTCCCCCGCAGTCGCAGTGTCCCTTTACCAGGGCAGTGTTAACAAACCCCAAACCCCCACCCCTCTGTCCATTCCTGATCCCAGCCCTCCATCCCACCCCCCTCTCCCCCTCCCGGTGCCCCTCCCGGTGCCCCTCCCGGTGTCCCCCGGTGTCCCTCACCTGCAGCCGCAGTGTCCCTGTCGCCGCGGGGGTGTCCATGCAGCGGGGCCGGGCCGCCAGGCGGCAACACATGCGGCCATAGAGGGGCACCCAGCAGGGGCTCTGCTCTGGGGGGACACGGGGACACGGGGGGGACATGGAGGGACCCCCAAACCCCCCCGACAGGGCTCTGCTCTGGGGGGACACGGGGACACGGGGGGGACATGGAGGGACCCCCAAAACCCCCCGGCAGGGCTCTGCTCTGGGGGGACACCGGGGACATGGAGGGACCCCAAAACCCCCCAGCAGGGCTCTGCTCTGGGGGGACAGGGGGGGGACATGGAGGGACCCCAAACCCCCAAGCAGAGCTCTGCTCTGGGCACACACGAGGCTCTTGGGGGTTCAGAGGGACCCCCAAACCCCAAAAGGATCCCTGACCCCGCCCCTCCTCGTGCCAGGACCCCCAGACCTCCCTGTCCCCCATGGACCAAGACCCCAAATCCATCCTCACCCCTGCAGGACCCCAAAATCCCAGACCCCCAAAATCCTGGATCCCCAAGTCCCAGACCCCAAAATCCTGGACCCCCAAAATCCCGGACCCCCAAAATCCCAGACCCCCAAAATCCTGGATCCCCAAATCCCAGGCCCCCAAAATCCTGGACCCCCCCAACTCCTCCCCATCTGTTCCAGCCCCATTGCCCTGTTTTGGGGTGCCATGAGGTGTTTAGGGGTGTTATGGGGTGTTTAGGGGTGTTATGGGGTGCCATGGGGTGTTTATGGGGTGTTCTAGGGTGTCACAGAGTATTTAGGGGTGCCCTGGGCTGTTTTGGGGTGCTTATGGGGTGTTTTGGGGTGCCATGGGGTGTTTATGGGGTGTCACAGGGTGTTTGGGGTGCCCTGGGGTGTTTATGGGCTGTTTGGGGTGCCCCGGGGTGTTTGGGGTGCCCCGGGGTGTTTATGGGGTGCCCCTGGCTGTTCGGGGTGCCCCGGGGTGTTTATGGGCTGTTTTGGGGTGTTTATGGGGTGTTTATGGGCTGTTTTGGGGTGCCCCGGGGTGTTTATGGGGCGCCCCGGGCTGTTTGGGGTGTTTATGGGGTGTTTATGGGCTGTTTTGGGGTGCCCTGGGCTGTTTGGGGTGCCCGGCCCCACTGACCGTCGGCGGCGATGACGAGGTCGTGGGTGCGGAACCCGTCGTGCACCTGGGCCAGGGACAGCGCGGCGTGCGCCAGCAGCTGGAACCGGGGACACCTGGGACGGGACAGGGACACTGGGGACACTGGGGACACTGGGGACAGGGGACACTGGGGACACCAGGGACGGGACAGGGACACTGGGGACACTGGGAACACCTGGGATGGGACAGGGGACACTGGGGACACTGGGGACACTGGGGACTGGGGACACTGACACACAGTGGCACATAGATGACACACATGGGACACACAGGAGCACACAGGGGGGCACACAGGTGACACGCAGTGACACACAGTGACACGCAGTGACACACAATGACACCCAGGGGTACACAGTGACACACAGTGACACCCAGGGGTACACAGTGACACACAGTGACACACAATGACACCCAGCGGTACTCACGGCACGCCGGGCGGCGGCAGCAGCGTGCCGGTGCCGCCGGTGCCCGGGGGGCTGCCCGGGGTCCCCTCGGTGGCTGCCCGTGCCCGGCGGCCCGAGGCGCGGCCCAGGGAGCTGCCGAGGCGCGTGGCCAGCCTTTTGGGGGTGCTGCCCTGCGCCCCCCCGGGCAGCCCCGCGCTGTACAGCTCCAGCCGCAGCTCGAAATCGGGGCCCGCCTCCGAGCTGGGGACACAGGGGACACCGCGGCGTCAGGGACACGGGAACAGCCCGGGGACACTCCCAGGGACTGTGGGGACACCGCGGCGTCAGGGACACGAGGACAGCCCGGGGACACCCCCAGGGACTGTGGGGACACCGCGGGGGACAGCCCAGGGGACACCCCCAGGGACTGTGGGGACACAGCGGGGGACAGCCCGGGGACACCCCCAGGGCCACCCCAGGGACTGCGGGGACACCGCGGCGTCAGGGACACGGGAACAGCCCGGGGACACTCCCAGGGCCACCCCATGGGCTATGGGGACACAGCAGGGACACAGCGGGGTCAGGGACACCCCCAGGGCCACCCCCAGAGACTGCGGGGACACCGCAGGGTCAGGGACACGGGGACACAGCAGGGACACCCAAGGGACTGCAGGGACACAGCAGGGACACAGCGGGGTCAGGGACACCCCCAGGGCCACCCCAGAGACTGCGGGGACACAGCGGGGTCAGGGACACAGGGACACAGGGCCACCCCAGGGACTGTGGGGACATTGCGGGGTGGGGCAGGGGTCACCCCCAGGAGGGGTCAGAGGGGGATTTGGGGTCCCCTGGAGCGGGGACAGGACAGGGGAGGGGTCCCCAAGGGGGGGTTGGTGGTGGCAGGGGTCACGTGGAGGGTGGCAGTGGCCCTGGGGGGTGGCAGGGTCCCTGGGGAGGGGTGTGGGGGGGATCAGGGGTCTCTGGGGGGGATCAGGCGTCCCATGGGGATGTCAAGGGGGGTGTCAGGGTCCCCCAGGGGGTGTCAGGGCCCCCTGGGGAGGGCCCTCCATGTTTGGGGTGTCCCCTGCCACCACACCCCCACTGTGTGCCCCACAGGATTTTCCCATTGCCCCCAAATTTCGGGGTGTCCTTCACTGCAACAACCCCTCCAAACGGGGCTCCCATCCACCCCTGGGTTTTGGGGTGTCCCTCACTGCCGTGTCCTCCATCCCACCCCAGGTTTTGGGGTGTCCCTCACTGCTGTGTCCCCCACATCCCCCCAGGTTTTGGGGTGTCCCTCACCGCCGTGTCCCCCATTCACCCCTGGCTTTTGGGGTGTCCCTCACCGCCGCACCCCCCATGGTGTCCCCAAACCCCCTCCCTAAGCTTTGGGGACCCTCCCCGGTTTTTAGTGTGCCCTGTGCAGTTCCCCACTTCGGGGGTCCCATAGGGTGCCCTCCCCACCTTTGGGCATCCCTTGGGCTACCCAATTCCCTCCGCGACCATTTTTGGGGTGTCTCACCGCCGGGCCCCCCTCAGCCGGGCCTCCTGGCGCCGCTGCAGCTCGCCCCCGGCCGCGACCACCCTGGCATCGCACAGCACCAGGGTCTTGGTGGTCTCCAGCGCCTGCTCGGGCCGGCTGCAGGCGGGGAGCAGCCGCCGGGCTCCCTCCCGCACCCGCAGCGCCCGCTCCAGCGCCCGCTGCAGCTCCGGCTCCTGGGAACACATTTGGGGGGTCAGGGGGACCCCGAAACCCCTCTGAACCCACAGTGACCGCTCCAGCGCCCGCTGCAGCTCCGGCTCCTGGGGACACATTTGGGGGGTCAGGGGGACCCCAAAACGCTTCCTACACCCATAGTGACTGCTACAGGGCCCGCTGCAGCTCCGACTCCTGGGAACACATTTGGGGGGGTCAGGGGGACCCCAAAACCTCTCTGAACCCACAGTGACCGCTACAGAGCCCGCTGCAGCTCCGGCTCCTGGGGAGGGGACACCGGGGGGTCAGGGGGACCCCAAAACCCTTCACATGCACACAGTGACCGCTACAGAGCCCACTGCAGCTCCGGCTCCTGGGGATGGGACATTTGGGGGCTCAGGGGGACCCCAAAACCCTTACAATACACACAACACCCCCTCCAGGGCCTGCTGCAGCTCTGGCTCCTGGGGAGGGGACATTGGGAAGTCAGGGGGACCCCAAAACCTCTCTGAACCCACAGTGACCGCTGCAGAGCCCACTGCAGCTCCGGCTCCTGGGGATGGGCACATTTGGGGGGTCAGGGGGACCCCAAAACCCTTCCCATACACACAACACCCCCTCCAGGGCCTGCTGCAGCTCTGGCTCCTGGGGAGGGGACATTGGGAAGTCAGGGGGACCCCAAAACCTCTCTGAACCCACAGTGACCGCTGCAGAGCCCACTGCAGCTCCAGCTCCTGGGAATGGGCACATTTGGGGGGTCAGGAGGACCCCAAAACCCTTCTCATACACACAACACCCCCTCCAGGGCCTGCTGCAGCTCCGGCTCCTGGGGATGGGACATTTGGGGGGTCAGGGGGACCCCAAAACCCTTCCCATACACAGAGTGAGCTCTCCAGAACCAGTTGTAGGTCTGGCTCCTGGGAACGGCACATTTGGGGGGGTCAGGGGGACCCTAAAACCCCTCTGCACCCACAGTGACCGCTACAGAGCCCGATGCAGCTCCAGCTGCTGGGGACTGGACATTGGGGTTCAGGGGCACCCCAAAACCCTTCCCATACACACAGCGCCCGCTCCAGAACTTGCTGCAGCTCTGGCTGCTGGGAATGAGAACATTTAGGGGGGTCAGGGGGTCCCCAATTCCCTCTGCACCCACAGCAGCTCTGGGTCATGGCAATGGGCACATTTGGGGGGTCAGGGGGACCCCAAAACCCTTCCCGGACCCACAGCACCCACTTCAGGGCCTGCTCCAGCTCTGGCTGCTGGCAACGGAACATTTGGGGGGTCAGGGGGGACCCCAAATCCCCTCTGCACCCACAGCACACACACTGCAGCTCCAGCTCCTGGGAATGGCACATTTGGGGGTCAGGGGGTCCCTAAAATCCCTCCCAGACCCACAGAAGCTCCAGCTCTTGGCAAGAACACACTGGGGGGTCAGGGGGACCCCAAAACCGTTCCCACACCCATAGTGCCTGCTGGAGCTCTGGCTCCCAGGAATGGGAACATTTGGGGGGTCAGGGGGACCCCAAAACCCTTACAATACACACAGCAACCCCTTTCAGAGCCCGCTGCAGCTCTGGCTCCTGGGAACAGCACATTTGGGGGGTCAGGGGGACCCCATAACCCCTCTGCACCCACAGTGACCGCTCCAGAGCCCGCTGCAGCTCCGGCTCCTGGGAATGGGCACATTTGGGGGGTCAGGGGGACCCCAGATTCCCTCTGCACCCACAGCAGCCCTGGGTCGTGGCAATGGGCACATTTGGGGGGTCGGGGGGACCCCAAATGTCCTCCCAGACCCATGGCAGCTCCAGCTCCTCCCACATTTGGGGTTTAGGAAGGTCTGGGGGGAATGTGGGGCGCCTGCCGGGCACCCCCCGGCCCACCCACCCCCCCGGGGTCCCAGCCATGCCCAGCGGTGCCAGCCCTACACACACGGTGGGGAAGGGGGGTCCCCACATTGTTTGGGGGTCCCAGCCACGCACGCGGGGGGTGCCAGCCCTGCCCTGATGGGGTCCCCACCCTGCAGCCCCCCACAAACGCACCGTGCACCCCACAGATTTATCGGGAACCCCATGGGCACGTCCTGTACCCCACGGGGAATCCGTGAACCCCAAAACCAGACCGTGCACCCCACGAACACGTCACGGAACCCACAGATCGATCGTGCACCCCACAGGTTTACCAGGCACCCCAGAAATTATTGCTGCACCCCACGGGGGAGCCATGCACCCCACAAACACACCTTGCACCCCATAAGGACACCACGTGCTCCACAGATCCATCGTGCACCCCAAAGGCAGGGAAAGCACCCCACAAACTCATCCAGCACCCCGCAGGGGAACCAGGCACCCCACAGATTTACCCTGCACCCCAAAACCACATCCCGCACCCCACAACCGTGCCATGCACCCCACGGATTTCCCACAACACCCCAAACCCATCCTGCACCCCACAGATCCATGGCGCACCCCACAAACCCCCCCAGATTCACCAAGCACCCCCAAAACCCCAAATTTCCCCCCCCACCGACCACCTTCAGCCCCCCCCCAAGTCCCTCCCGGTACCTCCGGCTCCTCCATCCCGATCCCGATCCCGATCCCGATCCCGATCCCGATCCCGCCCCTGTCCCCCCCTCCAGTGACGTCACCACCTATAAATAACCCCCCGCTGCAAACGGGGGGAGCGGGAGCCCCCCCAAAATCGCCCCTCTCGTGGTTTTGGGGGGCTCCTCAAGGGGTGAATCCCTTTGGGATGAGGAGCCCGTTCCACCTTCCCGGGACCGCCCGGGATCCGGGAGCTCCGGGGGGGTCCCGGGGGGTCCCGAATTTGGGGAGGGGGAGGGGGGGGTCCCCCCAAAATTCCCACCTGGATGCTGGCGGCGATCTGGCGGATGTAGAGCATGTTGAGATCCTCCAGGATCCGCAGCCGGCGGCCCCCCCCCACCTCCATCGGGACCCCCGGGACCCCCCCAGCTATTTTGGGGGGTTCCCCCAAAGCCCCCCAAGGGGGTCCCGCCGCATCCAGCGCTGGGGTGTAGCGGGGGCCGCCCCCCCCTCTCTACCGAGGCGGCTGCGGGGAGAAAACGGGCTTTGGATGGAGCCCCCTCCCCGGGAATTTGGGGGTGCTTGGGCCCCTCCCTGGAATTTGGGGGTGTTTGGGCCCCTCCCTGGAATTTGGGGGGGCGTCGACGATGTTTGGCGTCCCCAAACGGCCGCCCCCTCGCAGGGAACAAGGGGGGCACTGTGCGGGAAAGGGCAGCGGGGGCGGCGGGGGGGAGGGGATTAGGGGCAGGGAGGGAATGCAGGGATTGGGGTGCAAGATTTGGGGTGCAGGGCTTGGGGTGCAGGGAGGGAATGCAGGGATTGGGGTGCAGGGTTGCAGGGTTTGGGGTGCAGAAATGGGGTGCAGGGAGGGGATTCGGGGCAAGGAGTGAACGCAGGGATTGGGGTGCAGGGTTTGGGGTGCAGGGTTTGGGGTGCAAGATTAGGGGTGCAGGGCACAAGAGGAGAGGTGGAGAAAATGGGGTGCAGGGCACAAGATGGAGTGTGGGGATGGGAAAAGGGGGGCAGGGTTTTGGGGGCAGGGGAGGGTGCGGGGGAAT